ACTTGTGTACGTTAAAATTTCGTCAGAACGAAGTTACGGAAAGTTAATTAACAAACGGAGACGTAACAATATACTGTGTAAGGGCCAATTTCATAGTTTAACATTTATTTGGATTTCTCAAACAGATATTATAAAAACGTTATTTAGTATAAAACTAAAATCTTGAATTTTGTTTCCCTTCCTTATGTTGTAGCAACATACATGTATATTTTACATTGGTCAAAATATTTTGGTTCTGGATTGTTTTAAAATTTATAAGTACAAGCATAGTGTTTTACTAATGCAGTATAAAGGTATACTAGGTGTTTTTTAACTCCTTTATCTGGTAAAATCAACAACTTTGTATAAAAATTTTCATGTACATAAACAGTTGGTCAAGGAAGCAGCTAAGTTTCTGTACCCCAAGATACACATTGTTTTGGTTCATTCATGTATGGTGTCATATGTATTCTTTACAGTTGAACATACCATACTTAAGCACACAGCAGTGCTTCCCTCTGGCAGGTCAGGTGATACCTTGAGTTTACAACTATATTTGATCAAAATGACCAAAAGTGATATAGGTAGCAAACTTGCTCTAGAAAAGAATAACATTTTCTTTATACAATGCTACATGTTTTCTGGAAAAGTTCTTCAGAGATTCTCACTGACTTCTAATAGATATTTCCGAGAGCACCGTTTCTAGTAAAGGTGATATCCTTCGTAAATACACTTACATTCTAATTATTTGTGAAATAAGTAGTTTCATAGTATTTTATATCGTGTCTAGTCTCTTTCTCTCTTTTTTTGCAACTCAGTCTGTCAGAGAATTCTGATTTATTCCCAAAAACACTTTCTATTGAGCCTCCTCTTATTTTGATAAGCCTATACAACTTAGGGGAAATTAATACACCTGCAAATAACACATTCAGCATGAAATTGACATTCTTCATGGGATTTCCAAATTAGGGGTGAAGTACTCTAGTGTGTCAATTCTGTAGCCAAACACACAAATTATGACAGTATCAGTGATTATGTCTTACCTTCATAACATAATAATACCTTGTTAGTTTTGGATTCAATGTGTGTAAATGCAAGTGTGTTGATTGAAATTGTGTTAGGAGGGGGGGGGGATTAAAAACAAAAATTGTTCTTTGGGACATTGTGATGTACCAATATTGACTCACTTTAAAACTGGTAACACTAGTCAATTTTCACAAATTTAAATTAAGTGCATGATCATTACTTGATAATTACAAGTTTGAATGTGTATCCTTTAGTATTTCAATTAGGCTGACTGCCAATTATCATTCATCTTCGAAAGGGAAACAAGCAACAGCTCACGATAAATTATCGACCACCTTTATAAACAAGCTGTTTGATTACCCAATTAATGTCACGTTTCTTTTTATTGCACACTGTATAGATATGAAAGCTGGACTAAATACATATGACCAATTAAACATCACACCCGCAAATATGCAAGCTAATCTCATAACTCTTTCATTTCATTAAGAATTGTGTGACTGAAGTCTGCAGAGACAGTAAACAATGTCACATATATGAACTCACCTACTGTTTTTGTGGGTCAAGCCAATTTGTAAGGTATACTATGTACACATATCTAACACCTGTCTCAACAAAATTAAAGTACCAGCATTAGAACACTAAATTTATGATAATATAAATTTTTTCATTTGCCTAAACCAAAATTTACATGCTTGAATGTGATGTGATTTTTGTTTGTGAACTTGGTAATTTGTGCATTTAACTTAGTTCCGAGTTAGCAAGAACCCCAAAAAACAAAGTGTAGATATGTTTTTTAATAGTTCCAATGCTTTTTCTGTAAATTTTTGATTTTTCTCTAATACATCACTATAAAATGATAATAAAAACTTATCATTTTGAACATGACAGTATATTAGACCAACACTTGCAGAAAGGACTGATAAATAATGGGATTATATAGTGGGGAGCAACAATGTATGAAATAACACGTTAGAGATTTTTTTACTGTCTGTCAGAGAGTGGTGACACAAACAAATACTTTTTGCAACAAAAACAAACACAATCTTCAAAATAAGATCAACACTATTTTTAGGGTCTGCCCCAAAAATTGAATTGGCTGTAGCAGTAAAACCAGTGCAGCAAAAATGAAACATTCCTCAACACAAACAATTTGTGCAAAGAAAGTTATCCTTTTCAGATACAGGGGCTGACAGCATGGCATTAACAATTGCAATTAATGTGCTCCCCAAATATATATTTGGTTGCCAAAAAGTGAGGGCATAAATGAAACTTTGTGATAAAAATCAGCACAAATGAATGTAATCTACAGAGTAAATGTCATATAGGGAGGTTCAACCCACTAAATTTGGATTGGCTGTAATTCTTTAACCATAGAAGCAAATGATATGTAAAAAGAAATTTATCATTTTAAGATATTTGGGGCTGACATTAACATTAATACATTATTAATTAACACATCTACAAAACTCCATTCACTCGACAACCTCAAAGATGAAGATTACCCACTATAACAACACTTCATTGACTTAATCAAATTTTTCCAAAAACTGTAGACAAATGTGACACTTCACACTCAACACTAACCCAAAATCCAATGAAATAACAAAACACTACACCTCCCACCCCAGAAATCAATGACAAAATAACATTTTCAGAAAATTTACCAGCAATCCCAAATTTCCTTTAACTAATAAATCAGGTGCCAAATTATATATGTAAAAACTAGTCACACAAGCACACTCACTATCAATGCTAGTTATAAAATACAATATGGAATGTTACACAAACTTCACATTGGAGAAACAAGCCAAAAATAGAAATCACCTTTAATAATCAAATTCAACAATACCTCATAGTTCAATTCCATAGTTGTCATCTCCACATTAAGTTAACAATAGTATACTATCATTGTTGTGATATATCTCAGTATTGTAAGTGCTCCAACAACCTATTTTTTTCAAACCTAATTCCTAAACCCATGATAACTAAAAACTTTGAAACACCATATTTATACATACGAGTTCTGTAATAATTTATGTTACCCATATTTGTACAGCTTATTAGTGTCAAGCCTGTCACTCAATGAGTATTGTAATTATTTCTCTAGAAAGTTAAACTTATAAAAGTTAAGTGAAATGAATAATGTCTCATTACTTCATTTAATATTCCCATGGTGTAAAATCTCCAAATTGCTCTTGAGAAAATATATCATTATCACTTGACACTTAACAAAAAATTACCTTCTGTTTAATCATTTTAAAGGTTCTTAAATCAAACGCATTTTAATATACCATGTAGTTTTCAAATATTTTTACTGTTGAAACAACAACTGCTATTACTATATTGAAAAAAAAATAATAATATGATAAAATATAAATTTATGCCTGTATTATTGAACGAGTTTTCATTCTGACATGGTTGTGGTATACAAGTCTTCTGTGAATGATCTACAAGTAATGTTTACACTAACAGCCAAAGTTGTTCGACACCCTAACATAAAACACAGTACTGAAATCAGGTTATCAAACAAGTAGCAGCAAATAACGTGTACAATTACTCAAAAATAATATAAAACACAAAGTAGAAACTCTCAAGTTTTCTTTTTAAAAATCACAAAGTAGTTATGCTCTTTGATGGTGTGTTGCTAATGGATTGATTAGATGTGCAAGGGGCAATCTTATAACTAAGAAAACTCACAACTAGATAAAAATTGTTTATACTTGACCACTGTAAAATAATTCTCTTAATTTATGAAAATATCTAAATACATGTAATAATATTTAATAAAACACTATAAAAGTAAATATAATGTTTAGTTTTACATTGTTTCTGCTAAAAAGCCAATAACCTGTTTACATAAAAGTATTACTTACACATTTATACAAAATAATGAAACCCACCTTGTAACTTAAAGTATATACAACATAATCATTAACTTTAGCCAATCAGAGCTTACAAACTGCACATACCGTAGAACACATTATGACAAACTGCCAAACAAAAGAAAAATAGCAAGACTATAATAAATGCAAGTTAATTTTACATGACCATATATTTATATTTTTTTATCAAAAGTAAATCAAATTACTTCAAACTACTCATATCTTTTATACAAACGTGGTTTGATATGAACAACTAATAAAATAGATATAGTCAGAGAATTGTCCTGTCATTCAAAATGAGAAATCTGATGACAGTGTAAAATTATTCTGTTTAACAGTAACTCAAGTTTTGACGTGTTCACATTCCTGACTGCCAAAGTACGTTTACCTGTATACAAAGAAACACATTTCACACCCATCTGTATCACGTGTTCAGCATAATCGTTACATAAATTTTAATAATGCCATTTAACGAATCAATTGTTTGTGTGAACATAAGTACTAGCTATCTTAGAAAAAGAAACAGATTTTTAAACCAAAATTTTAATCACTATTAGAACTTGAATAATGGTGGTGATAATGATGGCTATGAAGTTTTGGCTTTTTTGATTTATTATGCTTCTTTTTATGTTTAGAACTGTAATGTTTTTCTTTGTGCTCACATGAATAAGAAGCACTCTTCTTAACACTAATCACAAGACTCTTCAATTTATGCTGTCCTCTTCTGGAAAAGGAAAGTGAATATGTACCAGAACTTTCCGAATTACTAGGAGTCCTCTTTTTTTGAGAAAGAGAATGACTGTTCCTAGATCTGTCATTAAAACTTTTCTCCAAGCTTGGGGTTGGAGACTGAGTTGAAGAACCACATGTGTTATGCCTTGATGAGTTGCATCTGTAGGAAGAAATATCAGAGCTACTACTTTGATAAAAAGAGCTTTCCTTAGATGATGAATGTCTACCATTTTTTCTGTGACACTTTCTGTATGATCTAGACCTCATACTTCTGTGACTTTTCTGTTTTTCTTTAGATACATTTTGACCACTGCCTTTGTTACCTTCTAGAGCACATTCTTGGAATACTTTTGTTTTATGATTCTGTTCATCATCTGATGTCGAGCACAGATCAACAACCTCTGGAGTCCTTTCTGCTTTGGATTTAATATAAGAAACAACAACACAGTCAGAATCGCTTTCAGAGTCTCCTACAACTTTGATCTTATTTGTTTCCACAGGGGTTGGAGTTTGGCAAATGTAAGCAGTAGCCCGTGTAGAAAAACTATCAAGTGAAGATACTCCTTGAATAGTTGCAACAGCTACAGGATTACTATGAATAATTTCATTCGAACCTGGTTCAGAACTCCCAGCACTGACAGATACTGAAATGAAAGGTTTGTTTTCATTTGTATCTATGCTGACAACATCAATGTCAGACTCGGTATTATCACTTTCATTATCTTTATCCTGTCTTTGTTCAATTATGTCATAAACAGCCCTCCGGTCAAAGTTAATAAGGTCATAAGTAGACCGAGCAAAGTTAAAAAATTCATGTACAAAATGACTTGTGCGATCCCTAAAAAATGGGCGTACGTGCTCATAAAACTCTGGACTTCTTATGTCAAAGCGCATAATTAATGCAAGGACTAACTCTAGAAGGAAAGCCAGTTGACTTTCACCACCATCACCCAGCAAAGCTACTAATTCTCTGTTCAGCCATGGAATAAGTCTGTGAGTACATGCAGGATTCTGCCTATAGAATTCTGGTGAAGTATCACGAAAACGTCCCGTTTGTCCATCTCCAAGAGGCTGCACCCACAGTCCACTTTCATAAATATGTCGTCTGAAATTGCTTGTGGAAATGTGATGTCTTCTTTCTCTCCTTGCCGTTCTAGGTGTTACATGAGGAGCATAGGTAGATCTGTAATTATGAAATTCAAGACTCCTTTCAAACCGAATCTGTCGTCTCCTTTCTGACGTAAGGGTGGATGGATAACGAAAGCGTCTACCCGAATTATCTGAACGAATACTTTTTGGCACGTTATGAACGCTAATCAGATACTGATCATAGTCCTCCAGGGATCGAACATTGTGAATAATACTACGGAAGGACTGTTTACAAAGTGGACATTCAGCTTTTACTTTAGACCACTCTACTAAACAAGCAAAGCAAAAAATATGAAAGCAACTGTCCGTGAAAGATTTGTTTTCTGGCTTTCCCAAACAGATTACACAACTTGGTTCGGGTGAAACTCTTTCATCAGAAGGCACGTTATTATTTTGTGTAGATTCTTTTACTTCTTGTTGACTCTCTGAATTTATATTTAAACCATCTTCACTGCCAATAGTAGGTTCGTAGCCATGCTCTTCCACACTCTTTTTACTCTCCATTATTGTTTATGGCCTACAAAGAATGAAACTTGCTTAAAAAAATATATATGCACATAGATTAATCATATTAAGTTATATAAATTGCTACACTAAGCTTCTGTTAATATTTACTACTAAATACAATTTTTTTTTTATTATCTACAACTTTAATTTTTCTGCTATTACTCTAAGTCCAAAAACCTATTACACGAAAAAAATTCATAGAAACTGTCCTTTTTAAAAATAAACATGAAATTCACACAAATATATAGTAATTACAAGATTTGCATTTTTTTCTTTTGTCTATGATAATGTGTCGTATGAAATAGACTGTACGAGGCATTCTCCTCAAGTATAGTAAATGATAAAATTGAACAATTTAAAAATAAAATTAATGAGCCAATAAAAAAAAGAAAGATTTATATTATGTTTGATATTTAGTTTATTTTGGTTTCTATTGCTTTGAGTAATAACACATAGTGAAGCAAATACATGTATCTTTAATATACGTATCCATAATAAGCTTAAAAAATATAATGCTAATGGTTGATAAAATAGTATACACCATTTAGGACTACATTTTTACATGGTAATTTATTACTAAAATGCAAAAAATTAATTAATTTCACATAATGTAATAATAAAAAACATCTTGCAAATCCTATGAAAAAACAATGTGCAGTTACATTGTAAAAACAAGGTATATTATAGCATGTGTGACAGCCAGCATTTTGATAGTAAAATAAATGTTAAACATTCAGACTTCTTTACTGTTCCATCTAATTAGTGAGATAATATAAGCAATCAAATACATTAAAATTGTAAATAAATATATTTATTAACCAATCTGCTAAATAATCCCAATCTTCCTCATAGCCAGCAACACCCAAAACCTTAAAATTATCAGCAAATTTAAATAATTTATTTACCATTCCTTCAAGTATGTCATTGATATAAATTAGCAAAGGTCCTAACAGAGACCTTTAATGCTTGTGGCATTAATCCAGTTGAACTCCATTTATGACAAACCTCTGCTTTCTTTCATCTAGCAAATTTTTATATACAATAAGCCAACTTATCCCCATCAGTAGCAACGGGGTGGGGTGGGGGGGTGAAAAGTGCCGGGGCCCCGGGCATCCAACGCAAAGAGTCGAATTGAATAGCAGAACCCTTTCAACCCTTCCCAAGGTCTTAGGTACAAGGCCCCGGGTATCATACAACTAACAATGAGGATATGGAAAAGAACTAACAATGAGAATAGGTGCAGAACTAATAATGGAGTAGGTACAGAACTAACAATGAGGAATATGTACAGAACTAACAATGAGAATAGGTAGTATAGAACTAACAATGAGGAATAGGTACAGAACTGACAATGAGAGTAGGCACAGAACTAACAATGAGAAATAGGCACAAACCAACAATGAGAAATAGGTACAGAACTAACAATGAGGATATGTAAAAGAACTAACAATGAGAATAAATACAGAACTGACAATCACAATAGGTACATAACTAAGAATGAGAATAGGTACAGAACTAACAATGAGGAATAGGTACAGAACTAACAATGAGGAATACATACAGAACTAACAATGAGAACAGGTACAGAACTAACAATGATAATAGGTAAAGAACTAACAATGAGGAATAGGTAAAGAACTAACAATGAGGAATAGGTACAGAACTAACAATGAGGAATACATATAGAACTAACAATGAAATTTCCTTGTCTACTGGGATAGACCACCACTAAAAATATTGCCAGAGGAACCAGATAATGGTTTCTAAAATCACAAATATACTGATACCATCACCAAAACTTGAAACAAATATACAAACTGAAAGTGGAATTATGAACAGAGATTGTGAAGGATATACATGTATATTTTTGGGGTAGCAGATGAAGAATGAGTTTGAAACCTTGAAGTCAGTGAAGTAAAACAAAACATACTATCACTGAAAGGCTACAAGCCATCAAAAAATGAGAAGTAACAGACACAAAATGCTGATCCAATCACTGACTAGCTTTTTGGAGGTTGAATAACTATAAACAAAATTAGTGTTTTTCTAATTAATTGTATTTATTGTTTAGCAGTACTAAATTCATGAAATAGTTTACTAAGGTATGTTTTCTTAGATTCAATTATTGTAAACTTCTGTTCAATACGAGTATAATGTTTTTGCTACTTGTTTTTATGAGAGTGAGCTAAATGACATATTAGTTTCCTATCCAAGGCCATTTGGCCCATCTCGGTTATCCCATTTTCTACTAATTGCACAAACAAACTCCATTTTCTATATCCAACTCTGAACTATAAATAATCATCCAATCTCCTCCAATTCCTTCAATGTTACACTTTCTCTCACATTTGAATGAAAAGTACTGCATACATTAACCACCCTATTAGAAAAGCAAAAATGTTTTAACTGGTTATATCAGAGTTTTCATTATTTTAAACTTGTATCCTCTAGTCTTCCTGCCTTCTTCATTATCTGAATTTATGGCTTAAGAGTATAAGGTCAATTGTACATCATTAATTTCTTCAATTACAAATGTATATAGAGACAAACACTTTACACTGTAGAAAGCTGAATAAAATCACATCTAACTTCCTGTTGCTTAGCCAAGGACTCACCTAGTGCAGATTTCAGTCTGAGTTAAAGAGGTAAGTGTGAATGTGCAGCGTGTGTGAATTGCCCATGTTACTATTATCTGAGACACTATAAAAGCTAATGCCAAGTCAATGTCAATAATTGGATCAAATATCAGCATTATTTCTTAGAACTTAGGTTAAAGTTGTAGGCTAAACACATTCTAATCCTATGTAAATGGCAACAGGAAATCTATATAAGCATTAATTAAGTGTTTGTTTACAACACTGACTGCAAATAATGGAGAAATGTTTGTTGGATTTTTATACATCTATTATATTAATGTAGAATACTGAAGTAACGACCAAGATTTAATACTATTCTGAAATATTTTGTACTCCTTGTAAATTGTTACGATTCTTTTATTGTCTGTATTGTCAGCATTTGCCTATCTATTGCAAATTCTCACTGTAAATGTTCCTAAAAATGTTAGATGAACTTGTGAACCACAATTCATTCCTGTATAAAAAATACAAATTTTATGTTCACAACCAAGTGAGACATCAACCTTGCCTCCACCTCACCTGTTAGGCCAGGCAGCAGGTTTCTGACCATTTAGTAAAGAAAACTATTTTAAAGTTGAATCACATTAAAATATTTTAGCCCTTACTTAGTTACTATTTGACCTGATACAATTACAGTCAACATATCTAAAATCATAGTTGCCCATAATTATTGCCTCAGTATTCTTATCAGCAACAACTCCAATTTCCCATTGTCCTCACCCCTCTTATCATGTGACCTATAACAAAGGCTAATTAAAAATTTTCTGCCCTTGAAACCCCGACTGTACACCATATACATTTAATCATGGCTCTTAACTCCCAGTTATGTTTCCAATCATAACACACACCAACAGGCTGCAGTCCATCCCCTATAGTTATATCAGAACCTCGTATTTTACTTTTTATAGTTTAAACAAAATATCATTCTCAATTGATCATATTCAATATTGAAAATTTTCAGTAGGTAAACAAGAACAGATAAACTGAAATTAGTTTACAAATTACATTAAATTACACCTTAACGCTTATTACTTATTTTGAAATATAAGTATTACTATTAGTAATACATTTATAATAATACAAATTATTACTACTAGTATTAGTATTACAAATACTATAATTTTTCAGTAATTGATATTGACTAGTATTACTATTAGTATTTACTAATACCACTACCAGTTAAAACTTAAACTTAATAACAATTACCAAAAAAAAATATTTTACTTAACCTCAAGTTAAATTTAAACATGAATTACAGTTGAGCTTTAAATAATACTAACGCAAATTTAGGATTATGGAAATTCTCAAGCAACTTGAAACGGCTTAATAAATCTAAGTTTCTCATATTCTATAATTTCTAAATTACTTTTCAAATTTATGATAACCATGACTGAAAATTTGTTTTAACCCTTTTTTATTCAATCAGCGAAATTAGCGACCCCTCAAACTTAAGGATATACTAATGCATGTTTCCCGCCAGTTAACTAATATATATTAACTTTTTTAGTTTTCGAAAGATCTTACTCACCTCTAACTGAACACATGGGTAGCAAAATTTCAATATTTGTTTTTTCTAGCCCAGAATTTATATCATATTTCATTATCTTATAATACCACTTGGTTTAAGATATCCCATTAACAGTATTTGATTTAAATGACAAAACTATACAGTTGTGGTTAACTATAACAATACACTGCTCATAATCTCCGATTTATTTAGATATTAAAGATAAAATATTTAGCTACGTTTACCGTGTCAGTTCTTCATAAATCTATGTCACATGCCCCTTCTACACATTTAGAAGTTTTACTAAAATAAGATGAAAGTGCCAAACAGTACGTTGTGTTACGTCTCCGTTTGTTAATTAACTCTCCGTAACTTCGTTCCGACGAAACTTAAGCGACACAAGTCCTTTCTTAATAAAACTGGTTTATTCTTTCCGAATATAACTTTACCGATACACTCAACTTCAACAATCGCGCTAAACAAACGCTATAACGTCTCTCGTGCTCTCTGACTGCAGTTCAATTACTCATTGTCTATACACACATTACCTTATTCCCCCTCTTATATATACCCGACCACCCCATATCCAGCAAATACTAGAGCATTCGCCAAAGTACAGGATAGTTCTAGAAACGTGGCGTCACTGTAGTCACGTGACTCGCTGACGCAACAGTTGGAAAGAGAAAATGGACAATTCTATTAGTAGACGTTCAGGTCCTCAAAAGCCACTCTTACATGCAGGCACGCAAAAGTATGCTTTCCACCTGCTTTTAGTAATATTGTTACTTATCTACTCGTTTGTTAATTTAATATAAATAAATAAATTCTTTCCGAGGAACTTCAGCGATACAAGTCCGTTCTTAATTAAAACTAGTTTATTCTTTCTCGATACAACTTTGTAATACACATAATTTCCACAGTCACGTTAAACTTAACAACCTTTATAACACACGCTGTAAATCACAGTGATTCACACACTTTACTTACGGCGCCTGCTGTTCGCTTGACTCAGTTATCTATCTCTCTGCATATCTATTCCCCCGCTGGCTTTATTTGCCGGGTTTATATACTAAAAAAAGAGGGTGCCTGGTAAACACTCGGACATTCGCGAGGTTCCTCGATAAGTTATCATCCTTCTAGAAACTCCAGCGCGCATGCTTCCAGCGTCGCGTGACTTCAGCTATCGTAACAATATAATTTGTGTTTAATTAGTTTCTATACAGTTATGACATAAACACACGTTGAAATAGTCTTGTACTTTACCTTTGTGTCTTTTGTTGTCTGTAGCAGATATTGCTATAAACTATATCTTCAATGTTTAAATTTAGATGTTTACCAGTAGAAGCTCGCCATTACGATGAAGTTAATATCCAGAAAGTTTCTGAAAGTTAAGAATAGACGAAGTTTGTCCAATATGTAAAACAGGGGTCCAATATAAATATAAACTGTTAGTGATGATTGAGCATGGTTGCCAAGTTCACATATTTCCCACGGATTTGGTCTTCTATTTTAGATGGGAGGGCTCTTTTAAGAGTCCATAAGATTTGTTTTTGTTGTCAAATCTGGCAACGTTGTTATTTAATGAGTCCAGTGTCAGTCAGTTATTAAGCTTAGCAATAACTTAGTGAGCATTGATTGATTGTGTCAGTTCAGTATCAGTTATTCAGTAGTGAGAGTTATCGCGCCAATTCTGTTACTCAGTGAGTTAGGAGTTTGTTTATCTATCAAAGCTAAGTAAATTAGGTATAGGTACTGTTACGTCTCCGTTTGTTAATTAACTT